TCTTCCAGATAACAGCTTTGAAGAATAAAGATTTGTTTTCTCCTCGGCCTGTTGCCCTTCCCATTGGTTAGGATGGGAGCATTGTGGCAGGGAGTTCTCTTGAGTCATACAGTCAAGGACACCAATCCAGAGATGGAATAAGGAGCTCGGCATGGCCTTGGGTGGCTAGAAGCCAGAATACTGCATGACAGAGAAATCAACCTCTATCCTCTTATTACTTAGCCAGGCCTGAACCTTAACCACATCTAACACGTGTGCCCTGGCCTGGTGATGCCATGGCCAGATGCTAGTCCGTTTTTAGCAGCATGGCTGTCTGCAGAGCAGCGTGTGAGCTGGGCAGATGTGAGTGCTTGTTATCTTCTGCAACACAGAAGCGAGTAGAAAATGGAAAAAGGAAAGTCCTCGTACTAGCCTTGCACTGAGAACGGACATTTCATTGCTGCATGAAGACGACAAGGTACACATCGGCCAAGCCGACACTTCAAAAGCTCACAGAAGACTTAAGCAGGTGGGTCCTGGGTTTAATTGTGAAGAAAGAAAACTAAAGATACAAAATGCTGGAAGCATATCAGGAGACGTGTAATTCAGAATTTCACACATATGCTTGTAATAAGAGAACTCACTCCGAGTGAACTGTAGTTCGACTTTCAGCTATGTGACACATACACACACACTGGGAATAAATGGTGTTATGAAGGTGGGGTGCTGCCTAAGACCTCTCTTCTTCAGCTTCTCACCACCTCCCCGGTTTTGCATGCATTTGTACACCTCATCTCACACACTAGGCTATACCACGTGAAATCGCCAGACCATCTTGACCTATAAAAACAACAATGGCACATGTTGCACTCTAATAGAAAGCTCTTGAGTTTGGGGCTCATTTTACTTATCTCTTCATCTCTCAAAATGCCTTAAACACAAGATTACCATGAGACATTTTTGGCACACACCTGTAATCCCAGCAATCTGGGAGGCTGAGGCAGGAGGGTGGCAAGTTCAAACTCAGCCTGAGCAACTTAGTGACTTAGTGAGACTCTGCCTCAAAATAAAGAGAAAAGAACATTTAACAAGAGCTGGAGACGTGGCCCAGTGAAAAAGCTTTGGGTTCAATACCCAGTGCCATGAAAAAACAGATTCTGGGACAACCTTTATTGACCATCTAGTTGAAATAGTTCTAGTTCTAGCAGATAATACCAGCCTAACGTACTTTCTATCCTTTAGCCTGCTTGGGGGACAGGAAGGGACCACCTCTTTCCCTTTCTCTCTTCAGGTAATTTTACTTTGCTAGTACTGATTTTACTACACTAGGCCTCTCCCAAGCCTCTTGGGTCCTGGACTTAACTGTTTTTTTTCTCTCCCCTGAGTTCACAGACATTCACATCTTCCACAGTCACTACCCTAGAGACCCTCCGCACTTAAAGCCTCTTAGCTCTGCAGTACAACATCTTGGATGCCTGAAGGCCTTGCACTACTCCAAAGCCAACATGTCCAAAGCAGGATCACCATTCGCAATAGGCCTTCCCTCAACATCCCACTTCTATTGTTTCTGGGCTAATAGCTTAGATAAAGACACTGGGTCACCTCTGACTACTATGGCTCTTTACCCAGTCGGCTACCCAGCCCTGTCTAGTTTTTCAAACACGTGGTGAATGCTCTTATAGGATCTGAATGTCCCCAAAGGCCCGTGTTAATTGGTCCCCAGACAGTGGAGCTACTGTGAGGTGATGGAAGCTTCAGAGATTGCCCTAGCGGGCGAAGCTGAGCCCCTGGAAGTGTGTCCTTGAAGGACATATTGGGACCCCTGGCCCTTTCCTTTCTCTCTCCACTTCCTGGCCACCATGAGGTGAGCACGCCTGTGCCATACACTCCTGCCGTGATGTACTCTACTGCCACAGGCCCAAAACAATAGGGCCAAGCAAGCACGGTCTGAAATCTCTGAAGACATGTGCCTTTTTCCTTACAGGCTGTATATCTCAGGTATTTTGTCACAGTAATGGAAAGCCAACACAAAGACATTCTTTCCCATCCATTCTTCTTTGGCTATCAAATGTGCATGAGTTAACTGCCCAAACTCTGGCCTTCTCTGGATAAAAATTCATTCTTTTACAACATTTTCCCTCAGATCTGTCTCCCAACACAAGAACTCAGAAGGCTCGTCACCACACTGCTGCACCAAATCTGAACTTCTCCGTTTGCTGTTGAGCAGTTATCTTTGAGGGTCCGCTGTACTTATTTAGCTTCACTTTCCACCGCTTTTGAAAGTATCTGTCCTCATACTGCTATTAAGGCCCTTTTCTCTTGATACTGTTTATATGTGTCCTTTCCCTGTGAAGCAGGAATCCCAAAGCTTATCTTAGTCCCCAGAGGAATCTGCACAGAGCACGGTGCCCAACAGGTATTTAACAGGGTTTGTTGAATAAGTGCATTGTAACTCAGGATAGCAGCAGGTAGGAAACTACTGGAGTAAACCAGCGTAACATGATAAAGTGACCAAGGCAGAGAAGCCCCCCTCTTTGAGGCTCTTACCTTTCCTTCTACACTATTTACCCAAACTTTCAATCACATATCTAATAGTCTGACTCATTCAATGCCCATTTCCTCATTCTACTGTAAGTGCTATGAGGAAGAGGCAGTGAATGTTCTGATATTTTCCAAGCCACTATGAAGGAACTCAAGAAATGTGCAGTGGGTATTAGCTGGATGAATACATAGGACTACATCCCACACGACCCTCTACGTCCCCTCACCTCCAAATATTCCTCCCTCTTCTCACCTGCACAGGCTGTTCTCTCCTACACAAATCTACCCTTAATCCAAGTCCCACTTGCTTCATGAAAACCCTCTGACTATTCTTGATCCTTTACTCCCTGATGATTTAGCGCTTACCTCTTATCAAAGCCAAGTTCTATAGAGCACATGCTCTGTTAATGACATTACTGCTTCACCATCTAATTGCTTCCTCTATTCAAAACCTTTCCTCTTCAACCAGGCATGAGCCCTGCCCCGTGATACACACAAGAAACTTTACTTGTATCTTCCAATACCTTGTATAATAGTGAATAGAGCTGGCTGTCAATAAATACTGGTTATTTGAAAGCAAAAAACAAAGGTAAAAAGCAAGTACCAGCTTTATCAGAAGGGAAATCAATTCTTTCAGCCATAAAGAAAATACCTTGTTTTTTGTATATTATCTTACTCAAAGCAATTCAGATCATTTAGAGAGTAACACATCTGTACATTTACTGATGTACTTATCTTCAGGTTTTTTTTTTTGGTACTGGGGATCGAACTCTGGTCCTTGCGCCTGCACAGCAGGCGGTGAAACCACTGAGCTAAATCCCTGGCCCTATCTTTGGTTTTTTTAAAGATGTGTCTCACTATGTACTTCAGGCCGGCCTTGAATTCACTATGTAGCCCAGGCTGGCCTCAAACTCATGGCGATCCTCCTCCCTCAGCCTCCCCAGTGCTGGGCTTAGAGGCATGCACCACCATACCTGGCTGTACATTAATTGATAGTAAGTATGTGCTTTCCTGAGAATATGATGTAGTAATAAAAAGTTTAAATGTTATCTTAAACTTAAGAGGAGCTTTCCAACAGAATAAATCTGACTTTAAATCACTTTCCAAAGCAAATGACTCCTTTCCCAAGTCTTCATTTATCACATATTAAAACAACATTTTATCATCAGATGATTCTCTTATCTTAAGGAGAACAGGACTTGGGAAAGATATGAGAGCTCGGAACAAACATCTGGAGGAAGTTCTCATTCTGGCTCATTGGGAGAATGTCCTATGTTCTCCTCGATTCTAACTTCTATGTTCCTTGCCCAGAGCTGGCTTGGAAAGGATCATTTCTGTCATATATTATAGAAGGAATAAACAAAAATAGAAAATAGAAAATAAAATACACTGGAGCAGAATCAAGAAGCAAGGTTTGAGGCCAGAGGTAGGAGGGCTTGAAGACCAAGCTGAGAAGTACGTACTGCTGCACACAGAACAGCACTTCTCAGACTTCAACACACTCACAAATCACCTGGGGCCTGAGGTGGGGCCCGAGAGTCTACACCTCTAACACCCCGATGAGGCGGACACTGGGTGACCACATGTTAAGTATCGAGAACATACACAACAAGCAGCCTGACATTTTGGCCCAGAGAACCTGCCCTCACTCCAGTGTGCTCCAGAAGGATTCCATGTGATCACTATTGGACCAGCCAGGCTGGAATGGGAAGAAGCTGCAGAATTCCCGAGGCCCCACTGCTCGACATTCTCATTTAATTGCTCTGGAGAGGGGCCCAGACCTCCATATTTGTAAAAAGTTCTCCAGGGAATTCCGAGGTACAAAACCTTCTGCTATATACAGTAAGTATTACAATCATTCAGGTGAAATGGTTGGTGATCCAAACCAGGGCAATGCAGGAGGACAGTGAAGGGACCGGACTTAGAGGATACTGTAAATGCAGAAGGCAGAGGTCTTAGTACACACTTGGGCAGGGATGTAGATGTATGGCCTTAAATAACATCAGTATTTCTTCTAGTCAAAGAGTTTGGTGAAATGGTTAAGAGCACAGAAACGAGGCAGACTGCCCACTATTTACTAGGAGCATATGGGTGTGATATTACTAGGTTAAATTCCCTACCCTCTTTATACGTCAGTTTCCTTATCTGTAAGCTAGGGCTAACAAAAACCAACGTACAGAGTTGTTGTGTGTATTAAGATAGCTAACACGTTGGTAAAGCCCTGGGAGCCATACCTGGGTCACAGAAGGGGCCATTAAAGGTGCTAACATTATTAGTACAGTTCATCATCTACTGTGGTCTCTGCAAGATGCAGAACTATGTTAAGACTTAGGTAGAGAAGGGAAGGCGCTGAGGGTTGAAACAGTGCCCTTGAAGCTGCTGGCTGTCGAATCCGGCTGGATCTAAGTGGTGCCCGACACCTCCCTCAGCCCAGACCCCACTGCTGAGGTCCTGAAACACAGAGGGCTCAGAGCCCCTACTTGAATTGCTGGTCCTTGGTGCTACGTGTCTTGGCCAGGAAGCGCTCGGCCAGCTTCTCCAGGTTGCGAGAGTAGTCCGTCTCAATCTCGGCCTTCTTCCGGAAGAAGTCCTGCAGGTCTTGCAACAGCTGCACCCGAAGCTCACACTGCTGGTCCAGGCACTTCATCTGCTCCGTGAGCTGAGCCCGGATCTCTAGGACGGGAATGGGACACAGTCAGAAAGGTGCCCCTAAGTAAACCCCATGCACGCCGACATCCACCCTCCTGCCATGCACTTATCCGTGTCCCCTGGAAACCCAATGTCCTTGATAAAAAAGCCTAAAGTGTAAACTGGCCACTTGGGGAGGGCAGGGAAGAACAGTGTGAACTGGGAATCTGCAGTGTTTCTGACACAGTGGCTGAATTTGGATTTTCTTCTAGCAAAGGGCCCAAGTGAATTATCGCTCAACAACCTTATAAGGTAGCTACTACTTTATCTCCATTTTCTAAAATTTTATTTTGTTTTTTGAGACAGGGTCTCGCTATGTAGTTCAGGCTGGCCTCGATCTCATGGTGATCTTCCTGTCTCAGCCTCCCAAGTGCTGGGATTACATTTGTGTGCCACCAAGCCTGGTCTGGGGGCAGGTTTTAAGCTGGAAAACAATCCTGTCACTTCCCCCAACCCCGGCAAAATCATTCATATCTCTGTTGCTTCACCCTCACGCCCTTAGAACTTCTGTTGTGTCAGAGCTGAGGTATTTCTGGTTAGGCCCCGGCCTGGCAGATTTCTGGCTCGCCAATTCTTGCCAGTCCCAGGGCCAGCAACACTGACTCTGCGGAGCTTCAGCCTTGGCAGCTCCAGATGCAACCGGATCTGCCTTGAATGCAACACTGCATGTCTTACTGACAAGAGACCTGGCGCTCACAGGACGCAGCCTGCCATCGCCAGACGGAGAAGGCCTGCGGTGTGTATCCTGCTGATGTTATGTCCCAATCCCCGTCTGAGTCAGAATGGGGCCATTTCCCTCATCCCTTCCCCTGGAAGTGTGCTCAGCTCCAAGCACGTCAGGATGTGACAGTGACTCTGGGCAAAAAGCGCACTCATGTTATGCCTTTCCTTATGCATGCCCCAAATTCATCTCCCACACGTGCAGTCCACACTGCTTTCTGTCTAGGCTGTGTCTTGCACGGCAGTGGCAGGTGAGGAGCGTCTAGAGCTTTCTCCTGAGCTATAGATAACTCAGAGGCAAATCCAGGATCGGGACCACGACGCTTAAACGTTTGCAAGCATTCTTTCTTAAAGCAAAGGATGGGGAAAGATACACTGGGCTTTGCCTTGGAGTAGCTGCAGGTCCATAATCTGCCCCCATCTTCATTTTTGTTTGTGTTTCAACAGATATTGCTGTGTAACACACACATGGCCCTGTGTGGGTGACACGGGTGATCCGTGGGTGCGCCTCTCACCTCCTCCTTGCCCACCACTAAAGCCAGCCCCACGGTGACCTCACCTGAACTGAAACTGAACCCCACAGGATTGTTCCAAGCAGACAGAAGGCTGCGCAGAGAAGCCGCCTACCTCATCACTCATCAAAGCTCTCTTGTTCTGTGCATTTTGGAGTCTGATTACAAGGGTATGGGGGGGGGGGATCTGTGGAGGTCACGTCAGGCATCTGGTTCTTACCAGAGATTTCTGGGTCTCCTAAAGGCAACAGCCCTCGTCAAGGCTCTTCCTAGAGGTATCTGCTCTCTTTCCACGTTTTAATGAAAAGCTAGCAGTCGTGGCCCTTAGGTAGGCAGACTGTGGGTAGAGAGTATCCAAAAAGCTCGTTGATATTACGTAAAATTTGCTCATTAAATAAGAATTACTGTGTACGGTAAAACAGCTCTCTACATAACCAGTCGGGAGCAAACATACAAGAGGAGACAGAAGGCAGGGGTGCTGTCCAGATCCTCTGAGGAACCTGTAATTCACTTAAGACTGCTTGCTGTAGGGGCTCTAGGCAAAGTCCCCTGAGACCCATGAAGTTTCAGAGGCAGAGCACTCCAGAGTTGGCCAGTCCAAGGAACAAGCACATCACAGTGAGCCTCTGAGATACATGGATTCGAGTAAGAAGCTCCCAAGCACATCCAGCCCATGTGGAATTCCAACCCGAACTGCTTAGGTGGCCCCATGAGTGGGTAGCACAGCATGAACTGTACCCCTCCCCTCCTCAGCACCGGCTCTGGGGCCTTATGGGAAGGGTGTGTGTGTCAACAGTACTTCCAGGTACCCTGACCGCACCGATGAGAAGACTGAGGTAAGACTCAGTAAGCCATGTAACAAAAGGCTGGGCATACAGTTAGGTGCAAATGGGATTGAAGCTAAATTGTTTGTCTGACCCATGAAAAAGGTTGACAGTAGGGCAGAGAAACAAGAGAAACATAACACCATCTAGGAGTCTCTCGAGGTATTTCTGGGTAAATCTTAGTGACTATGGATCGCACCCCCGAACATCACCCTCTCACCTTCCAGCTGAGGTATGACTCAGGCTCCTAGAGTCAAGTTTGGGGCAGCCCACTCACTCCCTAATAGCCCACGTTTTTTGTTTTTCTGGTTTGTTTTTCGGTACTTGGGACTGAACCCAGGCCTTCACACTGAACTACCTCCCAGCCCTTTCTTCATTTTTGATTTTGAAACAGGGTCTTGCAGAATTACTAAGTTGCCCAGGCTGAGCTCAAACTTGTGATTCTCTTGTCTCAGTCTCTCAGAGCGCTGCTCACAAGCGAGTGCCACGATGACTGGCCGGCCTATGTTTTGACTAATCCTCAACTGGACTGGATTTCTTCACTGCTTCCTAAATCTACTGTACAGGGCAGCTTTGGAGGAAGTTTGATTTTTGTTTTGTTTTGTTCTGTGAATGCACCCTGAGATGATGTATCTGTAAGTCAGAGGGCAGAGAAAGCGATAGCCCAACCCAGATCCAAGAGAAGAAAGGCTGTTAATAGATACCACTTGTCCCCATGGTTCATTTGGGACGTGACACCACTGGGCATCTCCCCTCCTCCATGACCCACACTGAAGGAGAAGCCCCTCCCTGAGACTGTTCCCAGCGGATACACCCAGACATTAAGTGTGACTCCACGCCTACAGCCCAAAACAGAACGGCTGCTCTCTCCAGAGCAGAATATGCTGCTTCAGGCTTTGCTACCACTGCTGCTAAGACAAACAATGGTCCCCAAGAAGGCAGCTGTGCCAGCCCCTGTCCTCTGTCCACGCACATAACAGGCAGGAAACAATAGGCCACTGAAGGCCAGCATGCCTGGGCCATGTGCCCAGGCTGGAGCCTCCCTGCACCCTGGCCTACCAGTAAGCCACAAAGGCAGGAAGAAGAAAGAGGCAATTTATAAAAACATGGAGGAATTCCTCATAGTTCCCCTATGTGCTTGAGCAAGAATGCACATACATAAGTGTGCACACCAAAGACACACACCACCCACATCAGGCTTCACCATGCCCACTCACAAAGCCTTTACAAACCCACTGGACAGTAGGGTGAGCAATCCTGACTGGGGGGAGGGGGTGCTGGGCCTTTGAGGGCTCTCGGTCTCCAACTACATGGGAAGAAGTCAAGCTTGTATTTCCTAAAGCAGCTTTGTCTCAGGAGCACTAACCATTTCCCTGACTATCAAAGTACTAAAGTCAGCATGAACTACGTGCAGTGATACATCCAAAAATTACCTCTCCTGGGTGCCCAACAGCCTGATTACTCGCCAATCCTACTGAGTCCCTCCTATATGACAGACGTTAGGTGATGGTGACATAGGATAACAAGACAGGTTGCACCATCCCCTAATGAAGCATGACTTGACAAAGAAGAAGAAAGACAAGAAAGCAAAGAGTCTTCTTGGTTTTGCTACAGTTGGGTTTGCTTAGTTCTTTAGTATAACAAAGCCACAGAAATAAGCCCCAACCTAAAGACCTAAGATATACACATCATCATCATCATAGCAGAAAGAAATAAAGCCTAAGAAAAATTCAATATCAGCTGACTTTTTTTCTATTGTTTTTTTAAAACGACACTTGAATAAAAATTTCACCTTCCTTTCCTTGAAAGAGGCACTAAGGTTTTTAAACAAGTTTCCTGAGAATCACAGCTGCCCTGTGACTGACATTTCATTCAAAGATTCAAGTCAAAATTTAACCTCACAGTTTTGCAATTAAGATAGTGGTGATGGTTGCATAACTTTGTGAGTTTATTTAAAACAACAAAACTTGATTGTACACTTTTAAGAGTGAATTTTATGGTATGCAAATATCACATTAAAAACAGATTAAAAAATTTAACTCCATCAGGGCCAGGGATTTAGCTCAGTGACACCGTGCCTGCTTTGCAAGTGAAAGGTCTTGAGTTCAATCCCTGGTACCAAAAAAAAAAAAAAAAAATTAACTCCACCAAATAGCATATTCTATTGAGCACCAGCAAAGGGGAAATGGCCCAACAAATAGACACCAAAAGGAAGGAGGAATTCTTGGTTTCCATTTCTCCATTTGTATGAGTTAAATCAGTTCTGCACTGAATATTCCTAAAACAAATCTTAGAAGCTCCCCCTCTGGCCACCAGACTTGGCCATGACACTGAACTTCACTGCCAGGCAGAACACCATTCCGTCCTTTCCAAAGGCTGTCAGATCAAAACCTGGCAAGGAATGTTTCTGTGCATGAGTTCAAAACCAGGATCAGGAGATACACCCACAACAGCTTCCCCTGGGAATTCTGCCTCCTTGTCCGTGCTTGACCACAGTTGAGTTACTAATTACACCTGTCCTGGGAGTTAGGAGGCAGCTTATTTTCTTTTTAGAAGGTACCAAAGGATCACAGTAAGTCTGTAAATGGAAGAAAAACTAGCCCAATGGATACTGATTATTTAACAATAACAGTCAGGGTCTCATCACACTGACAGTAACGCAGCCTCTAAATTACAACACGCACCAACGCAGAGGACATAGTCCTCTGAAAACTACCCTCGCTTCCAAAAACACCAGATGATTTGCCAAACTATAGGTGGGGGATGTGTTCAGTCTTGGGCTTTCAATCCAGAGAAATTAGCTCATTTTTTTCCTCCTCCCAAAATTCACCTCTATATTCAGAAGTTTTTTTCCTGAGTAACTCATGAATTCCACATTTCAAAGGAGGAAATGGTGGGAGGTCGCGCCGGGAGAAGATGTGTTCTTTCC